CAGATCTTGTACTTGAGTAAAAGTAGAAGTACTCAGATCTTGTAGTAAAAGTAGAAGTACTCAGACCTTGTACTTTAGTAAAAGTAGAAGTACTCAGATCTTGTACTTGAGTAAAAGTAGAAGTACTCAGATATTGTGCTNCCATCATTTCCTGGTCTTCTCTAAAGAAGAGGGACCAATGAAAACGTTGTCATGTTGCCGTTGGTCACCATGGAAACATTCATTAGCTAACAATGACATTATTGTTCTATTAATATAAAGGGAGGTCAGGTACTCTTTAAAACAGCTGCTAGTTATGGGTACTTTTTACTGAAGTACATTTCAAAGCCTCTTTACTTTGACTTGAGTAAAGAAGTTTAGTCAGTACTTCTACTTTTACCAGAGTATTTTTAAACACGAGTATCTGTACTTTTACTTGAGTAAAGGGTGTGTGTACTTTTGCCATCTCTGGTTATTTCACGTCTATTTATTTTATATAAGAAAGGGTGAACTGGTTGGAGAGACAAGTAAATAATTCAAATATGCTCAAAACGTTCAGAACATTACATTAAGCAGAGTAGACCTCGTAGTGTGTAATGTCAGTTTAGGTTGCCTAAAAACTGCTAAAAATGGCTCTGGAAGCCACTGCTAGCTTGTCTGGGTTAATAAAGTCTTAACAACAACGTCGCTTAAACCACATTGAAGATATTTATGGAAGTTACAGCAGTATAAAGTGAGTGTTTGAGTAGAATGTAACTTAACAAGGCTAAAACTGCACAGTTAGAGTTGAATGTTTAAAAATAGGTTGATCACTACAAATAGGGTGTTATATAAATAATAACATATCATATAGACTGTTATGATAATAGTATTAATAATACTTTTGTGATATTGATAACTTCTTTAAGATGCAATACCTCCCACCTACAGTACATATTAACAAACTGGTGGCAAAAATGTATTAAGCTAATTAAGTGCGGAGCTTCTAACTATCAGTTTTATTTATTTGATAAACAAAAATAAAAACATGCTAATCAAGTCTTAATCAAATGTATTTGGTGTGACAAGTAAGCTAGTCATAGGACAAATAATCCTGGAATAATTTCATATGCTATGTGTTTTACTTCCTTTTTTTGCAAGCATGGCATGATGTCCTCACTTAACAAGTCAAAAACAAATGTTTGGTCCCCACAAACACCATGAAAAAGAACAACACACACACACACACACCTTGTCTTTGTCCCTTAGGAGGACATTGCATTGACTTATATTAATGCCTACATGACTTAACCTAACTTTAACCATGAAAACAACATTCCCAACTCCAATCCATACTCTAAATGTACCATAAAACCTTCAAAGAGCCCTACCCTAAAATGTAATCATTTACATTGTGGGGACCAGATATTTGACCCGAAATTGAAGGTCCCCACAATATCAGTGTGTTAGGAGATGTCTATCCCCCATATTGTTAATAATTCAACATATCTGATGACTACAAAGCAGAATCTGTTTCGTTAGTAACAACAGCTTCTGGTCTCTTTAAGCACTAAACTGAAAGTTACATTTTAATGTATTCTTACTTGTTTTGTGTGTTCTGTTTCATATATATTTATTTTAATGTAACTGTTTGTCTCACTTGTTCAGTTATGTTTAAGTTGCTCACCCTTAATACAATATATATACATTTTGAACAGTGTTTTAGAGAGCCATTTTATATGAGGCCCAAGAGTGAAGAAATGTCGCCACCTACAGGAAGATTGGGTGCATTACAAGATGTGGAATCCATGTTGAAATCCCCAAAAATGAGTTTTGTGGTACCCTTTTATTTTGTGTTCTCTACATGTATCCGTTAATCTCTGTAAATCATTCATTTATTTTCCAAAAGGGTTTTACTTTCCTGAAAATTGTTATTCTTGTGTAGTCTCTTGTTGTTAATTTTCAGAAAAGTTTTCAGAGCAAGGGAATGTAAAAGATATACTGGAAGGCACGTTGTTGAATGCTATGAACACTTTAATGCTTAAGTATGCAGAATGATTATGGTCTGTATATTGGTCATGACTATTTGTATCAATAGGAATAAATTAACCTATTTGTCTTAGTTCTTGTTTTTGTGTCGCATCCAAGTCCAAGCTCAAAGTCATTACCATGTGTGATAAACTAAAAAAATACTTTATATAATTGCTCAAATAAGTTACTCTATTAATTGTATTTTATGCTTCTTTCTTTTGATTTGCACAAACTGAAAATACTTATACATTTCTATGAGTGCGAAGAAGATGCCCCCAAAAATTATGTAAAAAAAATGATGAGTGGATTTTTGCCTTTTTTAAATATCAAATGAGCTCCTAATAATATTATATAATAGTATTTTCTGTTTGAATTCTAATTAAAATGTTAAGGGTCTGAATAGTTATTTTTGTCTCACTTCAATAAGTTAACAGAATATAAAAACTTCACGGTAGGAAACAAGGAGTGAATTCAACAATAGTGTACATTTTTTAAATTGATATGAGATTTTTTTTAGCAAAACAGTTGCTTTTTACACATCCATCACTTGTGGAGCAACATTCGCGGAGGATAATAAAACAACTAGAAAACATTACAGCACAAATTGTTTATTTTCATTTCACAAGCAGCTGTTTATTCCTTATTATTACACAGCTTTAACCCACAAAACTGCTGTCAAGTCGATTCAACAGGTTTACATTTTTCTTCTGAGAACTACATTGTGTTTTTTTTTTGCCACTTTGATCACAGTTAACACGTTGCCACAGTTTCACAAGGCTTCACGACGGTGGTTGTGATCTGGTTTCATGTTTATCGATAGTGTGAACAGTGACTGAACATTATTAACATTGTTATGAACGTGGCAGGCAGCAAAAGTGGCTCAGTGTTGGTAAAAAAAAAGAAGCAGTTGAGTGCAGTGAAACTTGTTTAAAAGGTTGAACATTCACAATCCTAAACACACAGCTTCTATATTTCCTTCACACAAACACGATGTTCTGTCATTTAAACCAGTGATAACTCCTTTTGCAGAATTCATTTAGGGAGAAAGGACGTCCACGATCTGTAATGTTGTGCTTTGTTTTTAATTTGAATATTGCTGATTAGAGCTGGAGTGAATCAAAAGAAAGTGAAGGTACAGAAATAAAAGTTTTTTTTAACATAAAATTCGTCCAACAGTGAAAAGTATCTTACATTTCTACATGTAAACTCAAATCAATTAGGAACTACTCACCAAAACGAGAAGAAGTTTGAGAAGCTAATTCATTATTAGCCGAATGCAAAACTTTGGACTACATTTGCCATCTCTGGTTTAAATGACAAAATGAACTTGTATGTGAATTTAAAGCCTTTGACTGAAGAACTATGTCATTCATCACGAAGCAGTAATCTACACTGAATACAAAAAATTGAAATGCAGGAACATGTCATCAAGTTATAAAGGCTAATAATAAAACTGCTGCAGCTGAATATATTACAGTTTATGATACAAATGTTATGGTGTTAAAATAAGAATATCACTTTACAGTTGCCTTTTAAGAAGTTATCACTTTTATTTGCATGTAATGAGGCTGTTTTACACCAACATCTATATTACTTCACCAAATCTGGTATTTATAAGACTTTTCAATTGTTAGAAATACATTTCACTAGGTTTAATACAAGGCAGCTGTAAAGTGTGACCAAACACAATCCAATGTAATGTCAATGTACTTGTTTTAATGAACACTTTTGTTACAAACCAGCATAAATGTAAAGCTAGACTTAGAAACAATCAGTTTGAAATGGACTGTGCTTATTCATCGTTTGAATGTTGTGAGAACATTAAACACGTTTTTAGACGTTGATTTGTTTCGCACCACAGATAGACACACAGACTTTAATCTCAGACGCACACACACACACACACACACACACACACACACACACACACACACACACACACACACACACACACACACACACACACACACTGCACATAACTGGTGCGCAGGTGCTCATCCTAATTTTCGGCCTTGATGTAACAATATTCATAATTAAGTAAATGTAACACCCTTTTCACCCCGGTTACACGTTTCATTTGCCCTGTACGATGGGCGCTGTAAGTGATGAAAATGGGGGATGTTGGCTTATCTGGCGCCCGCAGCTCACAGCCAAAATGCGAGTGAGCGAGGGAGAGAGGGAGGGAGAAAGGGAGGGTGCACCGGTACCGGCGCTGTTGTTATTAGAATCTGGTGCTGCCTGCGCTAACGGATATAAGAAGAAGATGTTTCTACAATGATGTGGAGGGAGAGTCCTCTCCTGTCACACTGAGGTAAGGACTCTGAGTGTTTAGATAGTTCACTTTAGTCTAAGTTCAACGCGGTTGGGTCACAATTTATGTAAACACATATTTCCAAGGCACTCCTTTATAATTATTGGGATAAACAGGTTTGAAATCATTCCAATGTATACTATAGGAACTTAACCAAAAATATCCTTTAAAACTGGAAAGATAAAAAAAAAAAAATGCATAAATAAATAAATGTTAAGGTAAAATAAGATATGAATGAATAACATAAATAAAACAAGTTACATTAATTTGTTATTGGCTATGGGTTATTGGTTATGTTCACATACTTATTTGATTACATCCACTTTTCTAAGATGACA